TTTGGGCCCTTGGGACTTTGGAGGACCGTTAGCAGTGAACCATAACTTTGCCAGAGGAACCTCATCATAAGGGGACCTCTGAAGGATCTGGGACTTTGGATTTTAAAGACTGGGGAGAAGGCATATTTGAAGGGTCTTCTCTGCACTGAGGAGGGCAAGTGTAATAATTATTCCTCTTCAGGGTGATTTCACCAGAAGTAGTTTTGACTCCAGTAGGAAAGGGCAGTATTGGGATGCACAGCCTCACAGATGAGCTGGTTGTTGGATGGTTTTATTGGCATATTGGTGGCCCCATCCCTGTGGAAGAAGTAGAAGAAGTCGTAGACAGGAAAACTTTGGCATTGTTGCCAGTTCTGAGCCTCTGAGCTTCTAGCTCTCTCTCCTCTGGTTAAGAAGGTGACTTGTGGAATCTCATCGGCAGTGATCAGCATGTTGATCATGGAAGGATAGCGGATCTGAAGGAATTCCAAAGCTGTGACTTAAAGGCTAATGTCAGCATGAGTCACACCAGGGATCTCTGCTGATTAGGCAGAAACTAAGGCTCATCTGGACTTGGGTGGCCTCACTTGTGCATTGGGTCTGTGGGCAGGCTTATGTGGCTTGTATGCCCCAAAATAGTATGCAAGAAAAGGCCCCTGGAGAGCTCACTAAGAGCATTTTTCTGAAGCTGGGGATGTAGCTCAGTGGCACAAGTGCCTGCCTGGCAAGCAGAAGGTCCTGAGTTTGATTCCTGTACCAAAAAAAAAGAGAGCATTCTTCTGATTTTTACTGGTGGTCTGATAGCCAACCCCCTCCTCACGCCCCCACCCTCGGCCCCAAGTACCACTGATGGGCTCCAGGTGGATATTATCATCTGGGTCAGTGTTTGCCTTTTTGTAAAGCACCGGCTAAATTATTCATCAGATAGCTCAGAAGCTGTGTCGTCATCTGTGAGCTCCAGCAGAGTTGTAAACATGAAAGATTATTTCTCTAACTTATTTCACTTAGTGTTATGGTCTCAAGGTGCGTCAGTTTCCTACAAACAACTCAGATTGATCCCTCTTTATGGCAGACGTGGCCACATGAGGGCTACATGAGGACAGAACCAGGAGGAGAGGGGCGGCCTGGTCCGGGTGTGGTCTCTATGACCCCCATGCTCACTTCCCAGAGTCCTCCCACAAGAGAACTTTGGCTCTGTACTAATAGAAGGTAGATTTGAAAGCCAGAGGCTCTTCTCAGAAGAATGGCTTTCACAATTCTGTAAATAAAAGCTGGTAGACCCAGTTTGGATTCTTTCCAGAAACTTTATTCCCAAACTGTTTATTTTAGGTTCCTTTTCCAAGTTTATATTTGGAAAAAGACAAGTGCACTCCACAACTTCTCTTTTCTGGAAGGAAGAGCTCTGACTTCTGGTGGTATGAGGCGGACAGTTAACAGCTTTCCAGAGGGTCCTCTGTTTTATAGGCTGCACGCCTGGTGTCCTGGGAGGGTGTGCAGGACAGGGCATCCAGGCTTCCCTGAGATGCCTCCTGTTCATTTACTGGATGAAAATTACAGTGAGAAACCCCCAACTTAACTGGCATGAAGAGGTCTCTGACCTAACCAGGGATGGCTTGAATATTGAAAATAATAACAGTAGGTGCTTTGGATCGAAGAGCTTCAAATATAAAGCACTGAGATAATAATAAGAACAGTGACAGCAACAACAAGCAGAAATCTTGCGAATCACCTTGGGCTGGCTGGATTTCGACACATCGTTTTAAAGATTTGCAAAGAGTTTTTTTGTTGTTGGTGGTGGTTGGTTGGCCCTGGAGCTTTGAACCCCATAGCTTTCATGGTGCTAAATCTTCAGGCTTTTAATGTTTGCTTTGAGACAGGGCCTTGGTGTGTTGCCAAGGCTGGCCTTGAGCTTGAAGTCTTCCTGTCTCAGGCTCCTGAGTAGCTGTGATTGTAGGTGTGTGCTCCCACACCTTGCCTGGGAAAGAATTTTTGAAAAGCGAAAGAAGCTAGCTTAACCTAACCAAATAGTCAACGGAGGGGCACAGAAGGCAGCTCAGAGAGTTCTCTGCCATTTCTTGGTGCTGGAATGAGAAGCCAGGCTGTCTGCCTGCCCATGGCTCCCCGGAGCCAGAACAGCCTGCTGGTGCATGCGGAGTGGATTGTGGGATCTAGGCTGGTCACTGAGTACCACACTAGCCTCACAAAAATCAGATAACAACAGCCACCTCTTCGTGGTCCTGGGTTAAATGAAACAAAAGACCTCCCCCCACAAAGGCATTTACTGTATGCTGAGTCCCTTCCCCTGGCAATCACTTAGCATAGCACTGAGCCTCCAGCACCATTTTGAAGGATACCTGAGATTCCTGAGGTTTCAGCTTTTCTCCTGCCCCACTTTTTAAATTTTTTTTATTTTTACTTTTTGAGACAGGGTTTTGCTATGTAGTTCAGGGTGGCCTTGAACTCACTGTGTAACCTAGGCTGGCCTTGAACTCGTGGTAATCAATCCTCCTGCCTCAGCCTCCTGAATGCTGGGATTACACACATGTGCTACCATGCCTGGCTTCCTGCCCTGCTGCGGTGCCTATATCCTGCAGCATTGTGAAGGAGATGCCACTGTACCTCCCCACTGACATCCCTGGGAAGCCTTTGATCCACAGAGCTGCAAGCTGGGTACAAAGCTGAGGCGTGGCGTTTGCCCTCCTGCCTCTTCCACCCTGTGGACAGCTGCAGTGACCATTGGCTCTGAGCTGAAACCACCCTGGAACTGCTGTGTGAGATGATTACAAAGTAGTATGTAGCTTGGAAGGACTTGCCCTTCACTCTTCACCACACGCTCAGGGGCTATAAATAGAAATAGAAACGATTATTGATGTGTCTGTGAACTGGAATTGAAAACTCTAAACATTGAGCACTTTTAGTTTTGAGCAGGTAAACATTGTTAAGCTCTGAAACACACACAGCATGGCTGAGTAGGAAACATTTGGATTTGAGGCCCAGCTCTTCCACTCTCTGGCTCTGTTTTTCTGGGGCAAGTTATTTGATCTTTTTAAGTCCTGATTTCCTATTAGCATCATGAGAAGGAATAGAGGTCTTAAAATCTGGAAAAAAATGCGTGCGGTTTACACTTCCCACAAAGGTCATCTGTGGCTGCTCTGACTACGGCTGCTGCTATTGTTGTGCACCAGGGTCCTGACTGGTCCCCTTCCCCTACCTACGACTCTCTTGCAGCCCTTCCTGTTGCAGAGGGCGAAGGCCCAGCCAGCATGACCTTGACTTCGAGGCGTCAGAGGCCCCCCCCCCCAGGATGCCACACACTGCGAGCTGTGTGCCCTTGTGCACCTATGGGCATGTGTGTTTCTGCCTCTTTCTCTGCCCCATGTAATCTCAGAAATGCATTTAATTAGCCAGGCACAGTGGTGCTCACCTGTCATCCTGGGAGGCTGAGGCAGGAGAATGCAACTTTGAGCCATCCCCAGGCACCTTAGTGATTTAGCAGACCCTGTCTCAAAACAAAAACTTAAAAAAGGACTGAGGATGGAGCTTGGTACAAAAACCTGGCTTCAATTCTCCGCAGTGAAAAAGGTGGGGGAGGAAATGCATTTAATTTATCTGGAATTCTTAGGCTCCCTTCTAGAATGTTTTTAAGAAGGAAAAAGAACATTGAAAGTAATTTTCTCCTGCGTTTTCTAAATCCACATTAGAACTCTCGAAGACACCCAGGTGCCCTGGCGGGCAAGGGCACGTTGCTTTCCCCGTGAGGCAGGTGAACAGGCCTTTCATGAGTCATAGGGTCAGCTCGGGCTCCAGGCTGTGGTCCTCTCACTGTCCCAGTCTTGGGCCTAGGCATTGGCATGGGCAGATGGTGGTTTCAGTTCTCTGAAGAAGAGTTGGGAGGCTGCAAAGAGCACTCAGAGTTTGTGTCTTTGTGAGGGAGCCGTGGCACAGAGCCTTCTCGGCCTGGTGGAGTTCACATGTTAGCGACCTGCTGGCCCCCGTGCCTGCTTGCCCTGATTGAAATGATGAAAACAAAAGGATCAGGAGTCCATGCAAAGGAAAGTTGTTTCCTTATAGTCTGGCTGGTTTCTTTGGAACAGGCCTGCCCTGTGGTGAGGGGATTAAATTCAACTGCAGTAATTTATCAGAATTGCCGCGCTCCCTCCTCTCGCTTCTTACTCAGGTCTGAGTGAGACTCTGGCTTCTGTCATTTGATGAAGATCTGCAGGTCCTCCTGAGGTCCAACAGGAATTGAGAACGTTGAGCTGGAGAATTGGAGTCCAGATTTTTAGTCTTGAGGTGCTTCCAGGAGGCCTAAGGACAGTGGGGCAGATAACAGTTTGCCTTTATTGTTCAGACCATGTGTGTTGGGTTATATGGAGGGACAAAGACAAATACAGCTTGGTCCCTCTGCTCCAGGCATGTGCAGATGGTTCACTATGACCTGAAAGTGGAACATGGGAGAGGTGCCCAAGAGGCTCCTGGGGCACAACAGAGCCTCAAGGGCTCCTGGAGGAGTTGAGCAGGACGTCAGGGGCCAGGGAGGGTGGCCTGAGGAAGGGGATGATCTGAGCAAAGGCACAATAAGCAGGCCTTCGTTGCCTTACCCAGGCTCCAGAGACCACCACTGTCCCTGCGTTAGGAGAGGTGGCCGCAGTGGATGTCCTAACCCACAGGCTGAGTGTTGGCATCTCTTGCTGAGCTTATAGGAAAGGGCCAAGTCTGCAGGGGGAGGAGGGGTCCTGAGAGGTGAGAGAGGGGGAGACCCCCTCAGTGTCAGATTGTTGGCATGGGTGGTGGGGGCTTTTTCCCTCCTGGTCACCCCACTACTTTCTTGGGACCTGACACCAGCACAGCATGCTGCTGTCAGGATAGCAGTTACTTCCATTCCAGCCGCTTAATATTCCCTGATTTGTATCAGGCCCACATGTGGCTTTTATTCAGGACCGAGAGGCACCTGCTGGGGCGGGGCAGGGCTGGGGACAGAGTGCTCCATTTGCTAACAGCCCTTCCGCTTGCTGTCACAGCGCACGTGGAGAACGAGGAGCAGTATACCCAGGCCCTGGAGAAGTTCGGCGGCAACTGTGTGTGCAGAGATGACCCGGATTTAGGGAGCGCGTTCCTAAAGTTCTCGGTGTTCACCAAGGAGTTGACGGCGCTATTCAAAAACCTGGTCAGTGTCCCCTGTGGGTGCGTGCGTGCCTGCACGTGGTTACACCATGCAAGATGCTTCTGTCACTGCCTTTCTTGGGAGAAATGAATACTGTTTAATAAACTAGGAAAACATTCCACAGCTCCTGTGGATCTTGAGAGAATCATGTTTTCTATACACATGGGGTCAATTTGGAATAAAGTTGAAAACTGTAATGTTTGCTGTAATAGGACTTTTAAAATTCAGCCTGGCATTTTAAATATGCCCAGCTGCAGGACATAACGGGTAGATGCATTCATCTTCGTAAGGGCCTCTGGCTTCAGATTTTAATAGTTTCTAAACTGTGTAGAATAGTCTCTGTCACTGGTAATTACAGCAGGCATTCATAATGATAATATTTAATAAATACCTTCCAGACCTGTCTTACACAGCCAGGTAACCTATCATCAAAGCATAGAAATTACTATGAATATTTAAAGGCGTTTTGTGCTCCCAGATATAGAGCCTAAAAAAGCAGGGCTGAGAGGAACGTGTCGACTTTTTGAGTGAGTAGAAGTACGGGTGGGTATGGGCTGTGTGCAGGCTGCTTGGTAACGGCTTTGGGGTGGGTGAATTGAGCCTTTCTTGAGCTTGGCAGCCCTGTGTGTCCTCGCCATGGGAACAGAATTCTGAAGTGAGTAGCCAAGGGTTGTTTGTGACCCTGCCTGGGTAGCTTCTTCGCCAAGGAGAGCAGACCCTGGGGATTGCCCCCTCATCTTTCCTGTTTTTCTACCCTGGCTTCTCCTAAAGGTCACAGAAGATTGGGTCAGGAACTCAATAATGCGCTCTCTGTAGGTCGCAGACAGCAGCATCTTTTTCATTTCTTCGGTCAGTGAGCTCATAACAAGAGGAAAACCAGCTCATTCTTGAGCTGGTGATGGTGGTGGATTTGTGAGTCTGGCCTTAGAAGGGCAGAACCCGTGGAACATAATGTATGAATTAATAATAAGAAGGACAGAGAGTAAGATGATTAAGACTCTTGGTCTCTCTCCCTGGCTTCAAATATTTCCACTGGAAATCATGGAAATAAAAAGCTGTCACTGTGCTGCAGTTTTTTACTTAGATGAGTTTGAAATCTCTTGGGACTCTGATCAAGTTCATTGTTCTTTGTCCCTTCCCTGAGCCTGCATGCTGACAGCAGAGCCCTCAGCCCCTGTGTCCTGGCAGATGTGCATTGTGGGGGTTCATCACTGAGTCAGAAGAGACTGGAGGATTTTTTTTTCCAAACTGGAGAAACTGCATGGTCCCAGGGCAGAGTTCTATAGAGGGTGACAGGGTGGGGTTCCCTCATAAAACAGCCTGCTGCCTAATCCCCCAGCCCTTTCCATGCGTGAACAGTGGCCCATCAGCTTTCCAGTTGCTGGGACACAATATCTGACACCCACAATTTAAAGGAGGAGGAGAGGTTTAATTTGGCTCCTGGTCTCAGGGGATTGAGTCCATGGTCCACTGGCTCCAGAGGAAGAACATGGTGGAAGGGCGTGGCAGCAAAAAGATGTTCAGTTCATAGCAGCCGGGAAATAGGGCAGGGGAACAGCGCCACAGAGGAAGGGGCCAGGAAGTAGAGACCCCAAGGTCACCCTCCATGACACACGCAGAGGTGTGCTGCACGCATCTCCCCTAGTGAATCCCAAGGCCTGTGAAATTGACCCTCCACCCTAAACACCACAGCTTGCTGGCACCTTACTCTTAAGCACACATGGATGGTGTCTAGGATGGAAGAAACCAAAGTAAGTAGAAAGAAAGAAGTTAGAGGAAACAGCAATACAAAGAGCAGAAGACAACATTAAAGAAACTGTATATAATCTCTCAGAGAAATCAGAACAGGCACTATGTCAAAGGAGAGTAGACTGTGAGTGATGGTTAAAGAAGAGGGGAAATAAAGACCATTAATGTAAGAAAATATAAAATTAGAGGTCCAACAAGAAGGGTTAGAGGAGAAGAAATCTCTTAGGAAATGGATAAAAACGAAATTAAAAAGGACAGGTAGGAAACAGATAAAAGATGAGAGGTGATTCCCACAGCCCAGTATGCAGCTGACAGGTATTCCCAGAAGAGGGCAGAGGGAGGAGACACTGTGGGTGCAGCACACAGCTGCCCTGTGCAGCACACAGCTGCCCCCAGGCGCCCAGCACAGTGAAGGAAGAGACCCACCTCAGGGCAGCTTGATAGCAAATCACCACCCATCGTCAAAGCTCCCAGAGAGCACCCAGGGTCCAGACTCAGAGTAGCATGGGCTTCCCAGCAGCGTCACCAGGAACTTTTAAGGTGTGGAACAGCACTGTTTCCAGAGCTTCTCCTGGACTCAGACCCAGCACGCTGAGCAGAAGTAGGAATGAAGATGTTTTCAGAGATGCAAGGCTTGAAAAGCTGCAGTCCTGTGTGCTATCTTTCCAATACTCCTGCAGGATGTGCTTTAGCAAAATGAAGAGGGGAACCAAGAAAGAGGAATGGAGAGGTGGGAACAGGATTCAGTGCAGGTGGGTGGCAGTGCAGGTGTGCCCGGGAAGGCTGGCAGAGAGTGTCCCAGCAGGGCTGCTGAACAGAAGCTCAGAGAGCAGCTTGCCTGCGACAGGTCAGGGAAGGCTGCACACTGCCCTTCTACCCTCAGACAGCTAGGTTTGTGTCTGTGTACCGCCTGGACTTACTCATCCGTGAAATGGAGAAATAATGCCAGACTTGATTTTGTGTGTTTTACAAGTTATATTACATTTAGTCCTTGTCGCAGTCCAAAGATGGGTCAGTGTTATTTCCACTTTATAGACTGGTTAACCGAGCTCTTTGGGTCTGGCCTCCTGGAATAGTGCTCCCACCAGCTTGCGCTCAGTTACCCACATGGGCAGGTGCATACTTAAAGCAGCCCTTTCTTCTTCGTAAATCTTCTGCAAGAGTAGAAAGCAGGGGACACCCAGATGTTAGCCTTGGCATGTTGCTCATCATGCCATGGTTTTGCCACTTGCGGAACTTTGGAGCTCGCTGCAGGCCTAGGTTTCTGTCCTGCTCACTGCAGCGGGTAGAGAGCTCAGGGCCATGGTGTGGGAAGTACTGGGCAGCAGCTGTGCAGGAGACTCAGGTGACCTCCTTCTGAACGTGAGGCGCACATGTTAGTCACTGACGGGGCCTTATCTAAGTGAGGGATGGAGTTGTGATTCAGATCCAAGCCTTACGGTGCCAAACCCACGGTGTTTCCACTATGACATTTAAAGGAGCCAAGTCTCCTTGTCAGGTCCTTGGAGAAGAAAAGGACTGATGAGAAGAGGAGGCAGTGCAGGGGAAAGTGCAGAGGAGACAGGCAGGCGTGGCTCCTCATCTCATCTAATGAGCAGGGCCAGCGTGGCTGCGAGTGGAAGGGGTTTGTCCATCAGTCCCTGAGATCTGTGCACTTAGCTTTAAGGACCTGTGCATTGCTTTCACTTTGGCTTTTACTTTTTGGAGTTGGAATTCTTGGTCCTGTTTGAAAAGACAAAACTCTCTTATTTGAGCCTGTCAAAATCAGCATCTGTCAGACCTGATGCTGCAGCCCTTCTGGTGTGGATGCCATCAGCCCTAGGAATGCCAAGCAGTGGCTTTGGAGGAGCTGGGCCGAGACTGAGCTGATTACAGGAGAGTTCTCTTTTTTGGTATTTTGTGTACCCTTCTTACTCCTGTTTTTGGTCGCATCTGCCCTATCTCACATTTTCAAAGCCTTTCCTTTGCTTTCTGTTTTCTTTTTTTGTCTTTTTGAGACAAGGTCTCACTATGCAGGTCAGGCTGGACTTGAGCTCACTTTGTAGCCCAGGCTGGCCTCAAACTCGCAACAATCCTCCTGCGTCAGCCTCCCTAGTGCTGGGATTGCAGGCGTGCGCCACCACGCCTGACTCCTTTGCTTTCTCTTAAGTACTTAACGAACAGTTCAGTTCTGTATGGCTAAGATTCTTAATTCCACCTCTTGTCCAGAAAGAGTAACTCCCACCTGCCTGCTTTGAGGCCTGAAAGGGTGTTTCTGAAGCATTTGGAACATCTGCAGAAAAGGTCAGCTTGGTTTAAAGCAAAATTTTCTTCATCGTGGGGTGGATCTTGGCCTGGGAGTTTCCCCTGCAGTCACATAGGTTCCAGGGAGAAACCAGGCAGCTCCAGAAATGTAATGCACCTGACGTTAAACAGTTGTAACGTCAAGCTGGTCTTTCTCTCTTTCCAGAAGGATGTGCGAATCCTGGAGGGATTTTCTAGGCACTACTGTGGTGAGCAGTGTCTGGGTAACAAGCTGCAGTAGAGAACTGATTCCTGAAAGGTTCATGCAGATTAGTGGTCGCTGTCTTTGACTGGAGAACAGATAGGAGGGACTCGTGGTCCATGGAACCTGCTTCCTGTGGAAACTGGCATCATTTGGAAGGAGAGGTCAGCAGTGCTGGGCTGAGGATCCAGCCATGGTGTGCGATCAAGGGTGGCCCAGGCTAAGGAGTTTCAGCTTTCACAATGAAGGGAAGCCCGAGTATCTACCACCAAGCAGCATGTTGCCAAGTCACCAGGGTTTATCATAAATGACCAGAGTTAGAAGAACACTAGAGAGGAAAGGAAGCTAGCAAGGTTCTGTTGGAATGAGTAGCACCTCATGGCTTTGTAGTTAGTACAGGATATGTCTGGCGAAAGGTGCCCTTACCTGTAGGTGCACCGTCTCGCCTGGCCGAGATGTCCTCCATCTCACCTGGCCATGTCATATACTACAGCAGTCCCCTTGTCCCTGCACTATCAAGCTTCTATAAAGTATGAGCTGGTCCTTTACATTAATGAAGCTGTCTCATCCCTTAACATAGAGATCTTATACCAGAAGCCTCGTCCTAGTACTTCTGTAGCCTTTCTTTTTAACTTCTTGTATTGAGAGTGGCTTATGTCTTAAACATGTCCTAATGTGGGCTGAGGATTTAGCTCAGTGGCACAGCGCCTGCCTGGCAAGCGCAAGGTCATGAGTTCGATCCCTGGTACCGGAAACAAAACAAAACATG